CTGCGCGCGGCCTTCAAGTGGACCCGCGGCCCCGCGCGTCTGTCACCGCAGACTCCTCGGGAACAGCTATGCACGCTGCTGTCACCTGGCCTGCAGCCCGCCCATCGGACACCCATGGGAGCGCCGGGAACCCCTGTCGATTGGGAGATAATCAGTGGCACCCATATGCCATAGGGAAATCTTTTTCCCTGATTGCTACTGCCCTGCCCACCCGGTTGGGGGCGGCCTAGAGCTTGCACCAGCGTTGGAGGTGGGCACAGGCCTCTAGACTTCCAGTCCAGTCCTAGCAGAGGCTATCGCCTACACCCAGAGGCCCTCCCTGTCCTCAGAATCCCACCTCTGGGCTTGCCCCCACTTCTCTTAAGTCTCCCCTTCGTTCATTCAAGGGAGCCCCTGCACTACCTCTCCACACTCCTGTGTCTCCCCAGGGACTGCAGTGCGGGGCCGGGCAGCAGAAGAGAGCCCCCTCTAAGCCCACCTGCCCTTGGGTCTGGGACCCCCCAGGAGAAACCTACCCCACCCTGCCTCTAGAACAAGAGGCTGTCTGGCTGGGGGAAGGGTGCTCTGAGCACAGGTAGAGGAGAAGGACTTGCAGAACCCCAGCCCCCTGTGAGTTGGGGGACCCACTGTCAGCTCCCCCACCCAGGTCTGACCGGGATAGCTGCTAGAGCTTGGAGTACCCAAAGGACACAGAGGTCTGAAGACGGTCTTGGCCGGCCTTCTTGGCCTCCCCTTCCCAGCTGGGCACCCTGGGCTCCGCCCTGCCCCTTCCCATCTGCCCCTTGTGCCTCCAGCCCTCCTCCTTGCTCTGACCCTGGGAGTCCTACAGGCACCTTCCACCCAACAAATCAGGAGCTGGACTTCCCCCACTCCATTCCCAGTCCACCCTCCAGCTTCCTCCCTGTCTGGGCAACACCAGAGCTGGTCTGGCGTTTCCACATGGCACCCACCACCTCCTGCCTCCAGTACTGTGACTGTGTCCATTGTTTTCCTGCCTCCCCCACTGTCACCCCAGATCATTCATTCCTCCTCCCTCCCCCGCCCCCACCGCAGTCTCAGCCAGGCTATGTGTGTCATCGTCAGAGCCCTGCTGTTCACAAATGATAGAAATCCACTTCCAATTAACCCAAAAGGGAATCTATTGGCTTATGAAAGTGGCCAGCACACTTCCAGCCTTCAGGACCGAGGGAATAAATCTGTACTGTGACCACCCAGGCTGTGGTGTGTGTTACGCCAGCCCTAGCAGGCTAACAAGGACACGGGCTCTGAGCAGGCACTTGGCCCTCAGGGTCACACTGCCGCTGGGCAGCAAGGCTGCCACTGG